ATCTTTATTTATTTTCAATTCTGCAACTTCCCTGTATTCTTCTATCTTTCTAATTAACTTCGGTCCAGTTTCTAGTGGGTCTTCTAGTATAAAGACCAAATCATCTGCAAACGCCTGTAGCCTGTATTTCTCGTTTTTTATTTCCATTCCTTTTATTTCTTCATCTTGTCTAATATTTCTGGCTAACACTTCCAAAGTAGATATAAATAGCAGAGGGATAGTGGACATCCCTGTCTAGTGCCTTTTTTAATATAAAAGTTCTCTGTCATGTCCCCATTTACCATCACCTTGGCTGATTGTTTATGGTATATTGCTTTAATCATATTAATAAATCTCTCTCCAAAATTCATGTATTTTAATTGTAATAACATAAATTGCAAATTAACATTGTCAAAAGCTTTCTATCCCTCTAAGAAAATCAACACCATTTGTTTTCCAGGATGTGTTTCATAATACTCCAATGTGTTTAAAATCATTCTCATATTATTTCTAATCTGCCTCTTTGGCAAAAATCCATTCTGATCTACATCTATAAATTCATTTAAAACCCTTTTTAATCTCTCTGCTATTATCAAAGCATATATTTTATAATCTGCATTGAATAAATGCCTATAATTATTTATCTGCGTTAATTCTGAATCATCTTTCGGTATAAGAGTAATATTTGCTTCCATCCATGAATTTGGTATTTTTGCTTCTAGCAGAATTTCATTATAAACTTCCATATATCTTGTAATTGTTTATAAAATTCTGCCAATCAAGCCCTGGCATTTTATTATTCTTTTGTCTCTTAATCGCTTCTGTCAATTCCATCATAGTTATTCGTACATTCAACATGGCTTTAACTGTTTCAGGTACTTTAGGAAGTTCAGATTGTACCAAATATTGTTGTATTCTATTTTCAGGAATTTTCTCCTGATCGTACAGTTTCCCATAATACTCTTGTATTATTTTTTTTTATCCTCATTCTGATAATAAAAGGTCCCTTTCTCATCTATTAGTTGATGAATCAATTTTTCCCCTCTCTTTTTTCAGTTTATATGCCAACCATCTTCCTGGTTTATTTGCATTTTCAAAAAAAAATTGTTTTACACTTTTTATTTTTTGTGCTAGTTCATCTTTTTCCAATAGATTCATTTTGAGCTTTATTAGGTCTATTTGATTTTTCAGTTTCTTTGTGTGTGTGTGTGTGTGGTTCTTTCTGTAGTTCTTATTCTAATTTTTTATGTTCTTCTAACATTTTCTTCCTTTGTTTCTTGTTGTTTTTCTTCCCCATGTAAATTATGACTAATCCCTGGTATACGCTTTAGCAGTATCCCATACATTTTGCAAGCAAGTCTCTTCTTTCCTGTTCTCTTTTTTTAAAAAGTCCAGTTCTTTTTCCATGCGTTGTATAAATTTCTTAGCTTGCAGTATTACTTGGTTCAATGTTCATCGCAATTTTCTTTTTTTCCCATATAACTTTTACAGGATTATGATCTGCCCAGACATTGGGTTCTATTTCTATCTCTTGTACACATTTTTTCAATTCTGATGACATCCATACCATGTCTATTCTAGACCAAGATTTATGTCTATTAGAATAGAGTATGTATTGATTTTTCTTGGGGTGGTATGTATAACCCACATCACCCTATTTGCACATTATTGACCTGTCTTCTATATATTATATTAGTGACAAAGTAATTACAGGATGAATAATAATACTAAAAATCAAAGTTTCAAAATATTATGTTAACAAACTTTATTGTAATCTACAACAACAACTCGTAGAATGTTTACCACGGCATCTTATCTATCCCAAGTTATTCTAAAAGTTATAAATAGTTTGTCCTCGATCAAATATCCATGTTTGTTTCTTAATGCCATCTCTTATCACTTATTTAATTAAATATAATTGACTTGGGTCTTATGATCAAAGTCCAAATAGAATTGACTACCAATTAACTGTAATAAATCCACGAATGAAAGCAAATATACATGTCCCAGGATAATGTTGCAGGATCTAATCTGGGTTGGACACTGGGACCAGAGGTTTAGTCTTCCAAGCTTTTGAACTCGTGCTGGAGCCCACCCTCAGGGAACTTCTTTTTACCAGAATATATGGTTTGGGCTGCTGAATATATCATATTTATGTGATGCCCTGATTTGGTGTGGCTTCCTGTTGGTGATTGGTATGTTGATTGCCAACTATTGGCTGTTGTTTCCTTGTGCTGCCAAGTTCTTGGGTCCTATGTACCTGATACACTGGTGGTAAATCAGTACTCCTGTTGGCTGACAAGGGACCTGTTTTTCAGGCTTAAATCATTTCCCTGGCTGTCTTTGTATTTGTTCCAACAATAATCTTAATAGCTGCAAAATTGAATATATGTCCTTGCTCATTGCAATGTGAGACTTGTAACAAGTTTGGATCTTTGACTGCACATTTGTGTTCTTGCAATCTGGTAGTTAGCTTCCTCCCTGTCCATCCTAAGAGCAATCCATGCAAAGGATCCGGTAGATTACATCAGAAGTATCTCTGACCTCCAAATGATCTTTGCAAAGCTTTATTTGTCCTCATATGATACCTCAACAAGGTACTACGTAAATATGACGCATAGAGCAACTACAATTCCGATAGAAAGATGTTCCCTGATGAACTTTGGAGCAATATATGAAATCTAGTCTATTAGTTCTACAGCCATGAGAATATCTCTTTGGTCTGGAACTGGATCAAAGTCTTTTTGTGAATCTTTACCCAAAGTTCCATGCCCCATCATATTTTGCAGGATCATTATTGTCTCATCAAATTTTTTAAAGAGAAATTCATAGTTCCCCACCCTCCTTTCTTAGGTTTCAGACACTGTTCAGGCACTTTTTAGTCTGTGAAATTTGATCAGGGGACAAAGAACAAAGAAGGGATGTTTTCTATATGTTTCTCTATATTTCAATCCCAGATTAAAATAAAAAATTCAATAGAGATAAACTCCAGATATATTACAAGTTCAAAAAGTACAGAAATCCTGTGGTGAGAGTCTAAAAACTCTTCACACACACACACACACACACACACACACACACACACACACACACACTGAATAGTTGTAGTGTTTCCATACAGAGAGGATAGAGACTTTCCAGAACAACATATATCAAAATAAAAAGAGGGGGGGGAGAAAAAACTATTTAGAGTCCAGCAAGTGGTTGAAATAAATCAGCATACAACTGCTAATTAACTTTTAAAGCAGAAAACAAAATAAAACAATAAATTCAAAAAATGAAAGTTAATACCCATGTATGCTTCAGGAAATGAAACTGCTGAGAGGAGGATGTATATGTCCAATGACTTCGAACACTTCCAGAAGGAATTAGAATCTTTAAGAACTCACTCCCTCCCTAACTGGGTCCACGATCGTCCAAAAGTTGTCATTCGTAAGTGATCCCATTCAAAACCAGGGAGCAGCACTGCCAAAGAACCAGTTGGAGATTTGGTCAGGATCAATGCTGAAAAATACAGGCAGATACTTATCCATCATGCCATACTATCAGGGAGGCATTTGATTGACCCCAAATTTATTCTGCAGCAGCACAATGGGCCATACCTACAGTCAATGTCATTCAGAACTATCTTCAGCATAAAAAAGAACAAGAAGTTCTGGAAATAATGGTTTGGCTCCCACAGAGCCCTGGTCTCAACATCATTGAGTCTGTTTGGGATTAGATGAGGAAACAGAAGGATTTGAGGCAGCCTACATCCACAGAAGATCTGTGGTTAGTTTTCCAAGATGTTTGAAACAGACTTGAAGAAACTTGCCAAGTTCCTTCAAAAACTGTAAGGAAGTACACCTAGAAGAATTGATGTTGTTTTGAAGGCAAAAGGTAGTCACACCAAATATTGATTTGATTTGGATTTCTCTTCTGTTCCTTTACTTTGCATTTCATTAATTGATAAAAATAAACTATTAGCACTTCTATTTCTGAAAGCATTCTTAATTTACAACATTTTTGCACAACTGCCTAACACTTTTGTACAGTAGTGTATACCGATGGCAAACCTATGGCACGCATGCCAAAAGTGGCACACAGAGCCATTTCTCCGGACACGTGAGCCGTCACCTGTTGCTCTTCCGGGTTCCTGCGCGCCGGCCAGCTGGTTTTCACACATGCAGGCATGCCAGAAACCGGAAGAGCAGCCGCCCGGTGTGCATGCACGTGCCAGGTGGCTGCTCTTCCGGTATCCAGCACGCATGTGCGCTCCAGTTTCAGTACTTGATGCCGAAAAGATTCACCAACACTGGTATAGCTAATAAGAAGGGTGAGATTATAAGGATTCTGGCAACCGAAATATTTTCAAACATACAAACAGTATGTCCTCAGAATACATTAAGCTACAATCTTTCTAATTATTCTTATTTATTGTCTTTGTGTAACTGACAAACTCTGAATCTTTTCACTAATAATAAAAGAACTTGCAAGCTGTTTATAGAACTGTTTAGTGAATCTGAGTCTTGAGACTCTGCAAAACAGGGACTGGAGATCAGACTTTTGCCTCTAATCAACACCAACTGAGAATGTCTTGAAGAAAGGAAATGAATCAGGATAACACAGTGCCCTCCATACCCAACCACTAGAGCCATTCCAGACGGATACCATGATCAGTGGCATCACAAGCTGCTGAGAGGTCAAGTCATGCAAAAATGGATACAACTATCCCTGTCTTGCTCCCATCAAGATATCATAAAGCATGATCAGTGCTATTTCCATCTCATATCTGAGCCTGAATCCTGACTGAAAGGGTCCAGATAATCTGTTTCATACACGATATGCAGGAAAACCACCTCCTCCACTCCATAACCACTTTATCTCTCTCCCAGAGGTTCCTGGTTCCTACCTTAGCTAATTTTGATAATTTTAATTTAATTTTATCATAAACCATCATGTATTCTGGATTTTCAGAAGATTTCTATATACATTTTGAGAATAATATCTGATTATGATAATCTGATTTTCTATGTCCTCAGAAACAGCACCTATAGCTCCTCAACTGTTGATGAATCTGATGATTTGGAAATGACCCAAGATGCAGAGATTTGTTTGCTGAAGTCAGGAGAATTGATGTAAGCCCAGCTTATTTCCCCATATTTACTTGGAAGAAACTGCCATTGGCCAGAAGCACAATAATTTTAAGCAATTGTTTCTTTTAACAGCATTGATTCATAACAAGTGTTCTTGCAAGTAAGAAGTGAGTTTCCACATTTTGTGTCATTTGTTGGTCAAGTATTCTTTTTGTTCTTGTTTGTTGTCTTCAGGCTAAAGCTACCTCTCACAGTGGAGGAGATTTTAAAGTTTGAAGAAGGTACCAGAGAACTGTTTATTAAGTCAAGTACTTACAGCATTATTCCAATCACTATAAATGAGACTGGCCTTACAATAAATTGGGTGTTTTCATCAGACCCAAAGAGTGTATCATTCAGCGTAGTGTACAAGCAATCAGAAGAAACCTCTCTGGATCAATGCAAAGTAAGTTAGCCCTTCATACAGAATTGTTCTTCTCCATGGAAACATTGCACATAATATAATTATGAACAAATCAGTTCAACTAAAAACTATTATTTGCTACCAGAGCTACACCATTCTAGATCTCTGTCCCAAAAATATAATTAGACAATATGCTATAGTTTTAGTTGTAGTAGAGTTCTAATCTGTAAATAGCAGGAAACAATACTGCTAATTTTTGTTTGGATTTGCCCTGCGTGAAGAGGATCTGGGGTTAAAAAATGTGGGGGCATTTGAGCTCTAGGTTGTCCATCCCTGTCAAAAGAAGTTCGGATTGATCCATTACGCTGTTAGTATCAAGCACAAGGTTTTTGCTGCTGAAAAATCTTCTGTTCTTTATTTCCTTCTCATTACTGTATCTTTCAATTAATATTTTGGCCCTTTGAAAGGGCCTCAAAACCTGGCTCTGCCGATTGGCCTGGGGCATTCCATAATGTAGTAGGTGGGTTAAAAAGAAGACTTCATCTCTACCGCATTGTATATTGGTTCCTATCTTAACTAATTTTGTTAACTGTAATATTTAACATTTTAGTGTTTAATATTGTTGTTTTTAGTATATTGTAGGCCGTATGTTGTAGGTTGCCCAGAGTCGCTTGATAGTGAAATGAGTGATATATAAATTTAATAAATAAGTAATCAATTGGTGGCTGGTTATTAGCTGATAGTGATGGAAGCTTTGGTCAACATATAAAGAAAGCATTTGTTTGGGCAGGCTGGTTAAAAACATATTCATTCATTCATTCATTCCCCAAGTTAATAATGGCAATGTTCCTTCTGGCTAATATACTGATATATATTTTGCAGGTTCTTATTCCAATGACTCGCTGCAATTCTCATAAGGAAACTATCAGAGGGAATGTAAAAATCCGAAATGCTGGAATTTACACACTTATTTTTGACAACACTTTTTCTAGGTTGGTGTGCTACAGAGCAGAGAGTATTTTTTTTATAGTTTTGATGTTATGGAGATTTTAGGAGTTATCACTTATTTCATTCTGAGTGGAGCGAATATAAAAATCGTGTTTCTCTAAAACCTCATAGAAAGAATTAATACACAATTACATTGTTTTAAATATTGAAATATTTTTCTCTTCTTGGTTACAGTAATAATTATTTTATTTTTTATTGTTGATGCTTTAATTGTTCCTCTTTAAATTAAAAGATCATTTTATTTGGCCTTTCATTGCTGTTTTTTATATTATGATATTCTATTGTATGAGGCAATTTTGCCATTAAAAAAAAATAGCTATTCTGTGGCTAGGATACATTGATCCAATTCAGAGGAAGAAATTTGAACTTTATTTAATTGCAATTGTTTAGTTCTTTTTAAGCAAAATAGTTGTTAAGTGAATTTTACTCCATTGTACAACCTCTTTTGCCACAGTTGTTAAGTAAATCATTGCAGTTGTTAAGTTAGTAACATGGTTGTTCAGTACATCTGGTTTCCCTGTTAACTTTGCTGATCAGAAGGTTTCAAAACCCCAGGACATTTCAGCCATCATAAATATATGCCAGTTGCCAAGCATCTGAATTTTGATCATGGGATGCTGCAACATGTGTGAAAAACAGTCATAAATCACTTTTTTCAGTGCCATTGTAATTTAGGTCATTTAATGATTACTAAATCATTAAATGTATGAGTATTACCTATAATTCTATTGTTTCTCCTTGATGATCTTAATTTTACAATTTCATTTTGACTAATTTTCTTATGTTGTTTTTCTTACAGGTTTATCTCAAAAAAAGTATTTTTCCATCTTTCTGTTCAACGACCAGTGATTTATGATGGAAGTGATTTTCCGTAGTTCTTCCTGTATGAAATATCTTGCAAGAAACACTATTATTTTTGTATGAGCGTGTTTGTGTGCATGTGCATATGTGTATCTGTGTCTGTGTGTCTATGGATAGACACACGTACATACATATGAAGCACTAAAATCACAGAAGGATATAAATTCTCCAAGATTTATGCAATAATTCAGAAACCATACTTAAATAAACCCTGTTTCCCCCAAAATAAGACATCCTCTGATAATAAGCCTAATTGGGCTTTTGAGCCCATGGCAATAAGGCCAAGCGCTTATTTCAGGGTTCAAAAAAATATAAGACAGGGTCTTATTTTCGGGAAAACATGGTATATGCATGCAGAAAAAAGCATAGCTTTTATGAGAGCAATAATGATTCTAAACTCTGTGTGCCAGTTATTCAAAAGCCATTTTGTTAGTCAATATAGTCAATATAGTTATATTCTGCTGCATTTAATACCAAAAATGATTCTAAATACATTTTATTAAAGAGCTAAGAATAGGACATTTATTTTTAAATATAGAAGATTTAACATATGTATAACACTAATTATTGTTGGTTATATTGAGTCAGCAACAGACAAACAGATAGAAAATCACTTTTGCATAAACATTAATACTGATAAATTAACTTTCCAGCCAAGTAAGCTACAGTTTAGGACCGTGATGGCAAACCTATGGCACGTGTGCCAGAGGTGGCATGCAGAGCCTTTACTGTGGGCACGTGTGCCATCGTCAGCTGCTCTTCTGGTTTCTGATGCGCCAGCCAGCTGGTTTTGTGGGCACCGGAGCACCAGAAAACGGCCTGAAAACTGCCCAAAAATTAGCCAAAAAACAGGTATGCGCGCGCTGGCCAGCTGGTCTTCAGGTTTCTGGTGCTCCAACGCAAGCAAAGACCAGCTGGCTGGCGCACATGCAAGAAACCAGAAGACTAGCTGGCCAGTGTGCGCATGTGCACCAGCCAGCTGGTCTTTCGGTTTCTGGCGCTCCGGCGTACGCACATGCACACGCGTTCCAGTTTGGGCACTTGGTGCCAAAAAGGTTCGCCATCACTGGTTTAGGATCTCAAAATCTGAAGGGGCACCTTAAATTTTCAGATTTTAAACAATTATAGTTTTATTATTTCATATAGTATATTAAAGTTTTTATCAGTTTGGTCCTCCTATCCGCTTCAAATGATCCTCATTAATGAAAATATGCTTTGTTTTCGCTTTTATTCATACAAGCTTGTATTCATACAAGCTTGTATTTTGCTTGTATTCATTTAAAGGACTGTTCTCCACCCCATCATATGCATCTTGACAATACTCTTACTAAATTCAATTCTCATGCAGCCTTATTCTTTGTTAGTAATTGCCAAAAAGCAAGGTTTCCAATACTTACAGTATCTAAATCTGGCCCTGTTCATGGTATTCCCCAAATATTTTGGGGCTATAGTTCCTGCTAGTTATATAATAATTAAGGATTCTGGGAGTTTTTGCCCGACAAGTATGGCAGGTATAAGTTTGGAAAAGCAGTTCAACATGCAAAAAGGCTATGTTTGGTATCAAAAAGATATCTCTCCATTTTGCAAATGCGTGCTCACTTAATACAGTTGACATGTTGCCTATGATGCAGGATTGCCTGCAGTACTTACATTAATTCGCAATCTAGAAGTAGGCTTACATTGATCAGTTTTGCCTGCAGAAAAACACAATTTACAACCAAGTACAAACCTATTAAAAGGTTGATGTATTATTTTTTTACCCATTTTCACAAAGGAGGGAACAAATCTGGTTCAAATAGGCTAGTTACACTGAGTTTAGTCCAGAAAAAAAAAATCCTAAAAAAATATTTTTACAGTTTATATTCTTTCTTTCTATCCATTACTATATTTGGCAGATATATATATGTATGTATGTAACTTACTTAACCTGATAATCATATGAGTGACATGTTTGCGAAGGATAATTAATATAAATGAAATTGTTACTGCTCAAGACATAGACTTTACAAGCTTTGAATATTTTCTCTTGAAGATGCTGAACGCAAGCTTAAAGGAAAATTTGAAACTAGGAGCAGAAGATGCACTTAGTTAAGCAATACTTTACTCCAGCCTTTTCCAATTAATGTTGAGTATTATGAATTCCTGATTCCCAGACATAACAATTAGATTTCCCAATATCTGCTAAGCATAGACTTAAAAATAATAATAATATGGTAAGTATTTATGAAGGAGAATAAAGGTAAATTTCTGATTCGTCAATTGGCAGAAAAGATGCTAAACTATGTGAGGCGTGGATTATACTATAACATAGAGCTATATTGTTATGCCATCCACTAGAAGTTTTATCTGGCAGAAACACCATCATGCTAGAATTTATTATTTTCTTTTGCACTCTGTACAAATTAGCTTGAACTTTAAATTCAGCCAGTTTAAGACTAGGATATGAGCAATATGGTTACTAACTGCTTGATATTATTACAGAATACTGTGAAGGTCTAGTTAATGGATTTATCAATGCAGTGCAAATACTTTGCTAATGATTTAAAATTCTCTCAGTGCTTGTATAATCCCAAACAGACCTGTGAGTTGCCTGATATGGTTTTAAAAATGCTGGTAACTTATAGGCAAAATGAAAGATATTGTGGATTTACCATTTTTTGTTGAATGTTATTATTATGTTTTAAGATATTTAAGATAATATTTTGTTTTGAGTTGAGTAGCAATAAGGATTTAATGCTAAAATCTGGGATGTTGTTTGCCATGGATTGTGCAATAATTGAACTAAAATCCCATAATATATTAATAATGGCTATTCTCAATTTATTTTACTGTAGAAATTTAATAGAATATTTCCTTTTTCCAAAAATAGGTTTCTTTCATATATAAAAGTAATATGAAAAGGATGCTCAAATATACAGATAATGTATTATTTTAAATATATATTATTGATGAAGTTATGTTTCAGTGATTTATCTCTAGTGTATTTATTATAATTCTTCAAGTCCTTACAAAACAACACCTCTTACACCCATCACCAACAAACGTCCAAAAAACGTAAAGGAATCCATGTGGAAATAACCTTGCTAGTCATTGCCAATTATAGGTGCTCATCTCCATTTCAAGGCTATTGAGTCAGTTCTGTCTGAAGACATTTCCATGGTCATATGGCCAGCATGATGTCATGGAGCACTGTTACCTTCCGACTGAAGTGGTATCTATTTACTTGCACTTGTATGCTTTCGAATTGCTAGGATGGGAGTTCAAAAGCATACAGTGGGATGAGGATGGGAGCTAACTAACCCTGTTGCATGGAGCTTAGGTCTCAAACCTGGGCTGCCAGCTTTCCAGCTGACAAGCCCGGAGTCTTAAACACTGAGCCATAGTGCTTCCCCTAGAGAAAAACAACAAATATCTAGTAGAGAAGGAAATTTATTTATTACAGAAAAATGTTCTCAGAATTCAATCTGAATAATGAGGGGGGAGGAGCAGAGAGAAGTTAATTAATATGACATAAGAATATTCTCAATCTTATATTAAAAAACATTAATGTGCAATTTTGCTGATATATCTGCTCCACTGAATTTTATTTTAATTTTTCCCTTGTTGCATTCTCAAATCCATATTTATTGTTATGTGACACCATGTTTTCCCAAAATAGCTTGCAAATTTTTTTGAGTTGTAATTATTTTCCAAAATAAAATACATTAAAATATACAGCTAAAAATGAAACCACAATAGTTGAAAATGTCTATAATGAAGTCCACAGTTTGTAATCTTTTTCTCCCCGTTTATGTGTGGATGACAGATACAACAAAGAGCCTGATGTCAATATCAAGAGACTATTAACAACTAGGCATGAAAGTCAAAGAGATGGCTTCCAGGTGGTGTTATTTTCTGCTGTATTCTCAATGAGAGGGAGGCATCCAATGAGGAAATGCAGTAGATTGTGCCATCAACAGAACTTTGGATTCCCAGAATACAGTCTACAATACTTGACAGAAAGTGGGCTGCACCTCACAATAACCAGGAAGAATGCCTTGGAAACCAACCAGCTCATTTTATCCAAAGGGCTTTAAGCTAAAATGGAAAGGGAGACAAACTTTCAGAAGCAAATTCCAAGCATAAATCTCAGGGAAACCAACCAAGTCTGAAAGAATAGGAATTCAGATACAAAACAGATGTAGGAAGCAAATAACAGGATCAGTCAAAAGGGATACGGATGTCTATACAGTAACGCACAACGTATGAGAAACTAAACTCGAAGTCCTAATACACAAGGCCAGTTATGACATTGTAGCCATTACTAAAACTTGGTGGGATGAAATCCATGACTAGAACATACAGCTTAGATGAATTTAAATTGAATTGAAATCAACCTAATAAAAGAGAAGAGGTGGTATTCAGCAGGGTTGAATTGGTTCAGGCGAATTGGTAGCGGAAATTTTAACTGGTTCACCGAACTGGCAAATACTACCTCTGGCTGGCCTCGCCCCCGTCCACCCGGTCACCCCCGCCCACCCTATATATGTTCCCTTCGTCACATGGCCCAGCTAATCACTTCGCCTCCGAGCCTTGCCTGCTCTGCTCACCAAAGGTAAGCATGCTGCCTACTCGCCCTTCACCTTGGATTGGGGCCCAAGGAGGCACCATTCCCTGAGGCCCTCATCGGAGCCTCCACCCGCTCACTGTTTGCCTTGTTCGGGTCGGGGAACACGCCATTCCCTGGCTCTAGTCTCGCCCCGGAGCCTTCACCTGTTCGCCTTGGCCAGGTTGGGGAATGTGCCATTCCCCGGCTCTGGCCTTCCCCAGGGCCGCCGTCCGCTTGCCCTCTGCCTCGCTCACCTTCATCCATGCCTTGGTGGGGGTCTCGGCACAGCCGGCGAGCCTCCAGCCGCCAGTAGTTTTCAGCTGCCTTCATAGCAGCTCCACTGCGATGCTATCCCTCTGGTGCAGCAGCCCGTTCTTCTGGACGGGTCTGGCTGCGAATGGCACTGGAAGGCAATGGGGTGTGTGCATGGATGGCTCAAAAAACAGGGGAGTGACAGGACTTCAGGCCTCTTTTTCGGCCTGTAGTTTTCGGCGCAAGAATCCTGCAGCCGCCACCTCCTTCAGTCTGAGATGCCTCTTTGCCAGCCGGAACCGAGCCGGCAGTTGCGGTTGGAGGCTTCTCGCGCAGAAAAAGAGGCAGCGGCTGCAGGATTCTTGGGTCGAAAACTGCTGAAAACTACAGGCCAATAAAGAGGCCTGAAGTCCTGTAGCCGCCCTATTCTCACCACCCACACACGTGCACCCATTGTCTGCCGGTGCACATGCGCAGCTGCATCCTATTGCCAGACCCAGCCAGGAGAACGCCCTGCTGTGCCGGAGGGACAACAGAGCTGCTCAGAAAGCAGCCAGACTGCGGTATCCCTTTAAGATACTATCAGCCTCTATGATACTTGCTTGCTATTGGCTGCCATAGTAATGTGGGGGGATGCATAGGTATTTGGGAGGGGGAAGCGAGCTGGTGGAGAGATCTTGTGATGTGACTGAAAGGGAGGAATATTCTCATTATCTTGACAGGTACTTCTGTGGGGGGGGGACCATAAAGGGACAGGCTGCAGGAGCTGCCTTTTCTGCCGGTTCTGTGGGTGTGGCTTGGTGGGGGTCATGTGATTGGGCATGGCCAACTCGATGTCACAGCAAGGTGCTGCCACACCAAGCCGCGCCCACCAAGCCACACCCGCAGAACCGATAGTAGAAAAATTTGAATCCCACCATTGAATTGCACTATATATATATATATATATATAGGGAATACTTTCAATATGTAATTTTCACGCCTATTGCCTCAGATCTTACTTTCTTTTCATTGCATTCCATTCATACTCAGTAAAAGTACCTTTCTCTACAAACATGGAGTTGGGGTTTTTCTTTCTTGAGTCTTGAACGGAGGCACATCTGACATTAAGCAAGATCTGCTTTAACAGCTATCCCAGGAAAAAAAACTACCATTGGGGCTGGGCAAAGAATGTTTAACCAAGGCAGTGACCAAGAGGACATGGGGGCTGCTGGGTCCACTCCTCCCCAGTCCCGCCGCAGCTGGGAAGCGTTGGAATGGATGTCTGAATTACAGCTTGAAGAAAAGCTGGTCAGAGCTAAATGGTTGCTGGGCATGGGAAGGATGGAAGTTTTGAAGGAGATCTCCCCAGGGGTGACAGCTGCCAGCATGGAGAGGCTGCCTGGCAGGAAGAGGATAAAGAAGACCTCCTGGTGACCCAGGCTCTGTATCTCTTGAAAGAAGCTCTTGAACGTTGGAAAACACGCCAAAGGTATGCATTGTCTGCTCATGGGGAGACTGAATACCCAGGGGAGAAGCAGAAGCCTCTGCATGCCCAGAAGAGATGCCTAGAGCTCAGCCAGAGCAAGCACTGGCTGCTGGAACTCAAGTGGCAGCTGCAGCCCAGGTCCCCCCTATGGGGGGGTAGTCCCCCAGAGGTGCTGAATTCCAAAGGTTCCTCAGCTGGCAGTAAAATATGGAGGAGATCCCAAGGCTTTGGGATTCTTCCTAGCCCAAGTGTGGAACCATATGCAGGAGTATGGGGAGGATTTTACATCAGAGGCAGCACACATGAGGTACGTCACCATGGCCCTGGAGGGGGTAGCAGCTGGGTGGATGGTGGGTCTCCATAATGAGGATTCTCCCCTGTTGAAGAACTGTGACCAGTTTATGATGGCCCCTCTGAGTGTGTTTTGATGACCCCTTAGCTGAGTGAAAGGCTAGAATCAGGATGAAGTCCATAAATCAGGGGTGGAGATCGTTGGCCGAATACACCCAGGAGTTTCGCAAGCTGGTGCGCCACATGAGGGTGTGGTCCCAGGAGGCCCTGATGGAATGTTATAAGGATGGCCTCAATGAGGATGTCTACAAAGACTGCTGTTCACGAAGGCTCCCCCTGAGACCTGGAATGCTGGTGTTGGCAGCCAGTGTGGCCAGAGATCGCTACTGTGGGGGCCGCGCCTGGAACAAGCCTTCCCCCTCTTCCCAGAAAGAGGCTCCTAGAGTTGCTAGAGGGGGGCCAGCTTCCAAGCTCTCCACAGTGTGCTTCAGATGTGGGAAGGAGGGGCACCAGGCTGCTGATTGTTTCTCCAGAGCCGGCTCCAAGCTGATCCCTGCTGGAGGGAAGAGAGCTGACAAGCCACCAGCAAAGAACTGCGAAATATCCCTGAAGGGTGTGGAAGTCGTTGAGTTCACTCCCCCAGGCCTGGAGGAGTTGGGAGCTCTGAAACCAACACCGATGGTGACCCCCTGGTAAGTCAGCATGGGGGCCCCATGACCATCCTGGTGGAGCTAAGGGTACCATCATCCAGTGCCCAGGGGAAGATGCTAGTCCTCTTACACTGGGGTGTACTAGGTGTGTCATCAGCTGAGAGGTGGTGGAAAAATGGGGCAGAGACTAAAGACAAAGTGCCCATCGTGTTTTGTCAGTTGGATGGTCAGTAGCTGGGGGGGGCAGCCCACTGTGACCAAACCAGTTGAGATGTGGATGGGGGACCACCGAGAGACTTTGAGCTTTATCATAACCCCTGGTATAGAACGACCCCTCTTTTTTGGACTGCCCTGGCTCTGGAAATGGAACCCACAGATGAATTGGAGGAAAGGGTTGTTATGCATCCGCTCCACCCAGGGGGGAAGGAAGGGGGGAAACCTTTCTGCATGGCCAAAGCCGCAAAGGAGCTGGCAGCGGCAGTGAGTGAATACATTGCTGGGAAGGAGAAAATCCCTAAGAAATATTGGGGCCTCAGGGAGGCTTTCAGCAAGAGGGCGTCAGATGTATTCCCACCCCATCAGCCCACAGACTGCGGTATAGAAATCCTCCCAGGGGTGAAGCTCCCTAAACCAAAGATCTACTCCATGAGCCCTCCTGAGCTGGAGGAACTGCAGAACTTTATTGATAAAAATGTAAAACGGGGTTTCATCCAAACCACTAGGCATTGAGTAGCCGTCCTGGGACTGTTTCGGGAGAAAAAGGATGGCTCTCTTTGCCTGTGTGTGGACTACAAAAACCTTAATGCCATTTGCGTAGAAAATGTTTACCCACTGCCCCTTATGAAAGACATGTTAGCTCACTTGGCCAAGGGGAATATTTTCACTAAACTGGATTTGAGAGAGGCTTATTACAGAGTTCGAATTAAAGAAGGGGATGAATGGAAAACTGCTTTCAATTGCCCCCTGGGTTGTTTCCAGTTTAGGGTGCTTCCCTTCGGACTACAAGGGCCCCCGGTGGTGTTCATGCAGTTGATTAATGAGGTAATACATAAGCATCTTTACAAGGGGGTCCTGGTCTACCTAGATGACATTCTTATTTATACGGAGACCATGGACGAAAATGTGAAAATAGTGCAGTCAGTCCTGAAAAAACTCAGGGTGGCCGAGCTGTATGCTAAATTGTCAAAGTGTGCAGGACTTCTGGGGTGACGTCATCGTGTCTGGAACGAAGAGAATGGGGCTCTGTTCTTGAGGTTCCAATATTTTTGATCAGCAAGCGGTTCCAGACGCTATTGATCCCGGAGAGATCAATAGAAAAAAGAGGAATCTTCGGGAACCTCGGAGAGAAAAGCAATCTCACTGAAGGTTCAGGAGAAACCTCCTAATTCCGGTCAGAAAAAAAACCAGCCATTTTGGCTGGCCTGAAACTCTGGCAACCGAATAGTGGGAAGTGAAAATCAAAATAAGAGAGCACATTGGA